ATGGATACAGGTCCTACCAGCTACTTTCTTTTTATCAGGAGAATCACATTAGCCTCCTGGAGGATTTGAACCAGTATCTTGTGATCAGACCTGTGGAGCACTAACCACTTTGCTATGGACCCACAGATCATAAGATTACATAACTATTTAACACTATTTAATCACATATATATTGTTTTAAAATCTTTTCAATATATTAGTTATAATTGTTATAAGTAGATTAGCATTTGACTTATTTGCTTTGCATCTAAGAAATATTGTTTCTTTTATAAATATATATTCATTTATATATAAAATAAATAAAGAAATAGTACTTTTCTATTCAATATATATATATACTGTATACTGTATAGTAATATTTAAAATTATTTGGAATTATTTTAATATATCTAATTTAATAAAAACTTATTTAAATTAAATAAAATTTAAATATAAATATTTAATACAATAAAAAAAAACTTTCTTCCATAAATCGATTTTTTGACAAAAATTTCCTTTTATAGTAACAACCTTTAAACAAGCTCTTTTTGCTCTTTTTCAAATATCTCCAAGTGCACTCTATACTAACTACTCCTATAATGGAGTCCATAACCCTTTCAGCAAATCCAAAACAATTCCTCCATACAACTATCCATGATGACTGGAACCAAAAACTATAAATTTATTATCTTGACTTAAATACAAACACAATTTATAAAACTGAGTATACCAGAACTATCACTATCTCTAATTTCATCAACTATCTCAAACAATTTTTTGTTATTAAAGAAGGGAAAAACATAGAAGATATTCTCAACACCAGTATCATCAAGGATATCAAAACTATTATCTTTGAAGAAACTTTTACAAAAAAAAAAGAAAAACTTAATTCCAATAATTAGAGCAACAGTCAAAAATCCTAGAACTAAAGACTTCAACTTCAATTATATTAATAATGTTGTCAGTAAAATAAAAAAAATCCAAATTGACCAACATATCCACAAACACTTCCAAGAATTTTTTCTCTCCTCTAAGAGAAAAACAAAAAATACTTTATAGTTTATCCCTGAAAATGATCAACCATTAATCACTTCTCTTGTCATCCAAAAAAGAAAGGACAATCAATTAAGTCCAATAATATCTCATGCAATTTAATTGTTCACCATGTCAATTATCTTCCAATCTGACAATTTTTCTGATAATAAAACAATCAATGATACATCAATGAAATTATTTGATTTGGATTTCATCAATCCTAAACAAACCAATTAAATGAACATTACTTCTACTTCCTTTCTTGACAACTTAATGACAACTCCTGACTTCAGCATAGAAATAAGTAAAATACAACTCACTAATGTTGGTTCTCTCGGCGACGAGTCTGTTGCTAATCCGGACCAAGACTTGTACTATGTTGGGAGAGTGGGTCTATGTCGCTGGTGATATCAAAGGTATGTATGATAATAATTATCTTAATCTTCTCTTATGTTTAACTAGTCTCTTCTTCTAATCCCTTCCTTATTACATGGCAAGATCCTGGATTCTCTTTAAGGCGACTAAAAGACAAATAAGGTAAGTTATTTAATTATCATTGCACAGGTACAAGCACTTGGTTTTTCAATAAATAGTATTTTATTAATTGACTCACTCAGATACACAATATCCGATCTATAGTATATTACATTCTATTTATATGCCTTGCGACACGTCTCTAAATCTATCGTTGTGTTATGCAGAATTACTAAACTTTGACAAGCTTTGCGCCCATCAATCATGCATAATTGATGTATAACCGATGCCCCATGCGGTACCGCGCCGGGCCTCACATGTCGCGTCATACCCCCTACTATAATTTCTATACTAACACTCCCCCACGCCTATCTTATGCTCTCCGGACATAAGTATCCACCCATACTACCGGCTCATGATATTGCTTCAAGATCTTGACATTAATAGAATTTGCTAGTATGCATCCGTCCATGGTACGAAGTTTATATACGTCCCGGCTTATCTTGTCATGGACGTAATATGGCCCATTCCATTTAGCTACAAACTTACTACTCTTTGAATGCGTTAGTGTGGCTCAGTATAATAGCACTTTATCACCTATATTGAATTGTTCGGCTATCCGATTGTGTTCGTCATGATAAGTCTTCTGCTTTTCTTGCACTTTACCCACGCGTTTTATTACTTCTTCTCTTGTCCTAGGCAGTTGCTCAATCAGATCATATGTGCGCTGTAAGATCGTTCTGTCTCTCATATCCTCGATGCTACTCGGTTATATCGGCTGCCAGGTCTCTCGACCATATACCAAATAAAACGGTGTTATCTTTGTCGTTGCATGCCTCGCCATATGGTATGCAAACAGGATTGATGGAATTACTAGATCCCAGTTTTTCATATTCTGAGTTAACTTAACTATTGCCTCACACAATGTACGATTAAAACACTCTACCAATCCATTCGTTTGTGGATAATACGGTGTGATAAATTTGTGCTTGCTCTGCAGCTTCGTCATCAACGTTTTGATCAATTAGTTCTTAAAGTGAGTGCCTCGATCCGTCACTATTTGTTCTGGACAACCATGGCGGCAAATGATCTCATTGTAGATAAAATCAGCTACTGTCGATGCATCCACTCTTTCCACTGCTAATGCCTCAGGCCATTTCGTCATGTAGTCCATGGCGACAATGATGTATCGTTTCTGTCGGGGTGTGCGGGGTAGTGGTCTCACAAAGTCAATTCCTATCTGATGAAACGGGGCTACTACTGGTATTGGCTGTAACGGTCCTCTCATTTGGGGTTTTCCTTGTCACTGGCACTGATCACAGGTTTGTAAGTACATGCGTATATCATCATGTAAAGATGGATCCCTAAAGTATTTAGCATATAAAATTTACATCCCTTTACGTCCACGTCCCCTAGAGGACATAATTCCTAGCTCTTTACTTCAATAGGGACATAATTCTAGAAATAATTTGTATAGATGCTTAAAACTATAAAAAACCTTTGTAGGTAGTTTTTTTTTATTCCTTAATATAAAAATGAAAATTTTTAATAATAAGGGACATTTGAATTATGTCCTCACAAATAATTTAGGGACCCATCTTTATCATCATGCATTTGTAGCCAAAAGTATATTTCTCTGATTTTTGCTAGCATAGTATCACTGTTGAAATGTTCTCCTAATGGATAGCTATGTGTTAAGAACAACACAGGCTCTATTTCATGCTGTTGGATCATGTGCAGAAGGCGCTCTTCATTATTTCCTTTCTTTTTATATAAAATGCCATCCTTATATACATACTTCTTACTTTCTTTCTGCAATTGCTACTTTTCTTCTTTGTCAAGCATTGGCGGCACTTCTTGATGCTGCAAGTAATACTTAAGATGATTGAATTGCATAGACTCCATTTTTTTTTTCTATTTTGTAGGTTTTATCGTGGTTCTGCCAGGACACCAGAACCTGGGCTGGATTCTGTTCCTCAGATTTGTTTGTTTGTGTTTTTCTCTTCTTCTTTTTTTTTTTTTTTTCGCGGTGGTCTTACTAACTTGTTTCCTCTACTTCCACTCCTTTTATCTTCTACTCTCCTTTATTGGTTAACTCGTGGTGGTTTTAGAGATGGGACAACACATCAGCGTTGTTATGCTTCTTGCCGTTACGATATACAATTGTAAAATTAAAAGGTTGTAATCTCAGAATCCATCTTACGCATCTTCCTGATAACTTTGCTATCCGTAACCACTTCAATGCTAGGTGGTCGGTCACTACTACGAAAGGGTTCATGCCATAATAATGCTAATAGTGTTCGACTGCCCACAATATGGCAAGACACTCCAGCTCCGTGGCGGCATAATTTCTCTTATGCTTGTTTAACGTCCTACTAGCGTATGATACTACGTACTCCTTATTATCATCTTTTTGGGCTAATACTGTGCCTAGCTCAACTCCAGAAGCGTCAGTATGCACAAAAAATGTTTTCGTAAAGTCAGGGTACCTTAGAACCGGTGTGATAACTAAGTACCGTTTCAATGCCTCAAACGCATGATTTTGCTCTGTTTCCCACTTGAATTTAACATGCTTTTTTATCAGGTCGTGGAGTGGTCGTGCGATCGTCGCAAAGCCTGGTATGAATCTTCAGTAATACGATGCTAAACCTACGAACCCTCTCAACTGCCTTAAATTCTTTGGTATAGAAAAGTTCTTAACTTTATCGACCTTTCCTTCATCAGGTCGAATACCTCTCCGGCTTACAACATGTCTCAAGAAGGTGATGCTCAGGCGAAAGAAAGCACATTTCTTGAAGTTGAGTTTCAATTTGGCTTCTCTCATCTTTTGGATCACCACACTAACATGTGTCATGTGACTTTTAAAAGTTTCAGAGTAAATGTTCACATCGTCCAAATATACTACTACGAACTTCCCTATAAATTCGCTTAGCAGCGTATTCATCAGTCTTGGAAACGTTGCCGGGGCATTACACAACCCAAACAGCATAACGTTGAATTTATACGTCCCCCAGTTTATCACAAAAACGGTCTTTTCACGATCCCCTTCCTCCATCATTACTTGCCAATATCCTGACATTAAATCAAGGGTGCTGAACCAGTTAGCCTTGGAGAAAGTCTCAATTAGATTATCCACTCAGGGCAAGGGGTAAGCATCCTTCTTAGTTATAGCATTCAGTTTGCGATAATTGACGCATAATCATAGTTTTCCTCTTTTCTTCGGTATAACCACGATCGGCGACGTCCACAGGCTTTTCGATTCCCGGATCAAACTCCTTTCCATAAGTTGTACAACTTCTTTCCTAATAAACTCTTTTATATCTGATGCTGCTCTGTATGCGTTTTGCTTAATTGGTTTAGCTTCTCCGGTGTCGATACCATGTTGCACTATGTCAGTACGTCCTAACTCCTATACGTTCTGCGCGAACGCATCACATTCTTTCGTCAGTATGTCTTTTCCTTGTTGTACTTGGCTTTCGGTCAATTCTTCATCCATCGTCATTATGCTAACTTCTTTTTCTATTACTACTTCTTCACTACTCTTCATCGATAATTCTTCTCTTATTATCACACTATCCTCTTCTGCTGGCAATTCTTCCATTGCTTCTACAAATACATCATCATCATCATCATCGTCAGCTTCTTCTTGTTCATCTATCTGGGCTAAGTACGCTGCGGGACCTGGTTTCTCAAATTGTACGTTATCATCGGGATCAGAGTCACTATACGATTCCCCAGTGTAGTATCCTTCCTTTTCTTTTACTTCTTCTTTTTCGTACACGATCTCATCAAATATCTTTTCTGCATCATCTTCATCAGTCGACTTGCCACTATCAGGTTCGGTATTTGGCATTCTTTTTGCCTTATCATTATTGTTATGTTCGGTATCTGGCATCTTTTTTGCTTTATCGTTCGTAATGGGAATCTTGATTTTCTTTCCATCATACCTGATCACAAGCTTCTGCTGGTTGTAGTAAATTCTAGCTTTCACCCTTTCGAACCAGTCATTTCCCAACAGCAACGTCTCGTCTTTGGAGTCGATTACTTGAAGCGGCGTCAGGATCAAGGTTCCTTGTACAGATATCTTTATATTATTAATGTTTCCCAGCGTTCTTGTTCTTAAACCGATAACAGATACTACATTTGTAGTTGATTTCTTCTCGATCTTTAGTTTTAACCGATTCATCAGTCTACTTGATATGAAACTTACGGTGGCTCCCGTATCGACAACAGTGTCTACTTTTGTATCCTTAATCTTTATTTGGCATTTCATCATGGTCGTTTCTTTTTTCTTGACTTCCAACATAGTTGGTTTCTACCAGAACGAGCGGTCTTCTCATTGCCTTTGCCAGTATTTCTCTTTGCTCTGAGAACTGTAACATCTGTCCTATCGTAACACTGGCAAGTGTTGCTAGAATATTCTTCAGGACATTATAGGAGGACGTTCTGTCCAATTCTGAAGGTCCCCTCTTTCATCGTGGCCTCCTTCTGGCTGGCATTGTTTCTTTCATCTCTTCATCCTCGTTGGGTATCGGTGTGTTGTCGTAGTACTCGGGGTCTCGCAGATCAAGCTTCGGCCTGTTCCTTAGACATCTGTCCCAGTTGGATCCTGGTTCCAATACCTCTTTTCTTTTTTCTTTATCGTCCTCTATGACGAGGAACTGAACTTCTTTGGTTTGCTCCGTCTTCTTCGTTATATTGTTCTTTTTCAAGCAGTTCCTGACTCGATGGCCTACTTATCTATACTCGTAACATTCTCTGTTTATTGCTTTTAGTTTGCTTCCCGAATTTTCGGCAGGTGTGTTAAGTTTATCGAACCATACTTTTATGTCTTGCATCTGTTGTGTTAACTCCTAAATTCTTCCTTCTAGCTTTTCTGTCTTGCCTGACTCTCTTTCATTACCAGATGTCTCGAACTCTCCATCCAAGTCGGCTTGCATTACTTGTTCTAGGATTTCATTCAAGATTGTAGTGGTTGTGACGGTAAGTACAGTGGCAGCCTTTTTTCGTAACCCTTCCATAAAGATTCTGACTCCTCCTTTTTCTGACAGGTCGTTATTGGGGTTGGCCTTCCTTTGCAGTTTCCAGAACCGGTGTGTGTATGCCATTACTTGCTCATCACTTCTCTGTCTAATGGTAACTAGGTCGGTGTACCATTGATGTTATTGTTCGTGAGTTACGAAGGTTTTCAGGAATAACGATATGAAACTTCTCCTTCGGTCCTCTTCGTTATCCCAGTACTCGAACTGTTGTTGTTAGTAGTCGTACCAGTCTCCTGCATTTTCTTCCAAATGGCTTACTAACATTTTTAACTTTCTTTCGTCTGACCAGTTATTGATCCTGGTGACTCTTTCGTAGGATTCTAGCTATACATATGGGTCTTCATCTTTTTCTCCTCGGAATTCTCGTGCTCTCACCTATGGTATGTCTCTTTCTTCAGTTGTTTTGAAGTGTTCTCTTGATTCATCTTGTTTTCTTTTATTCTTGTTGCCTCCTTCACCAAAGAAGCTGTTTTTCATCAGTCCATCTATTCCGAAATCCATTTTATTGATTAGTAATCCAATCATGGTTGTATTACGGGACTTCGCACGATGCAAGTACTCTTTTGGTTATGGTTTGTTTTTAGTGAACAATGGATAATAATTAAAGTTTTATGGTTTAGGTGTATGCGCAAAATATTGGGGAAGGGGGGGTAGTGAGCGTTGCTCTCTATATGATCTACTCGGGTCCTCCACCAAATGTTGGTTCTCTCGGCGACAAGTCTGTTGCTAATCCGAACCAAGACTCGTACTATGTTGAGAGAGTGGGTCTATGTCGCTGGCGATACCAAAGGTACGTATGGTGATAATTATCTTAATCTTCCCTTATGTTTAACTAGTCTCTTCTTCTAATCCCTTCCTTTTTACACGGCAAGGCCCTGGATTCTCTTTAAGACGACTAAAAGACAAATAAGATAAATTATTTAATTATCGTTGCACAGGTACAAGCACTTGGTTTTTCAATGAATAATATTTTATTAATTGACTCACTCAGATACATGATATCTGATCTATGGTATATTATATTCTATTTATATGCCTTGCGACGCGTCTCTAAATTTATCGTCGCATTATGCAGAATTACTAAACTTTGACAAGCTTTGCATCCATCAATCATATATGATTGATGCATGACCGATGCCCCATGCAGTATTGTGCCGGGCCCCACATGTCGCATCATACCCCCTACTATAATTTTTATGCTAACACTAACCAATCAAATCTAATTATAATTAATAATATCATTGACTTGGACAAACTTTCCAAAACTTCTATTCAAACCAAAACCAAAACCACTCCCTATATCTGGTTATCCTTCTTTAAATAACAAGTTCAAGAAGAACTTTAAAAGATTAGAGATATCAAACAGTATAAAACCCTCAGGACAGATACTGAAAAACTAGTTAATGACCTGCTCCCAGTCCTAAGCAATATTCAAACTATCATTCAAACACTTGATACCATTATCAAACTTCCTAAATATTCATCCTATCACCTTAAAGCAATCATAAATAAAATTAGTTTCAAGGACCATACATTTTTTAGCTCTTTTACTTGAAATGAAAAGGACTTTCAAAAACAAATACAAAAATAAAAAAAAACCTAAATTTCATCAATTTTGAAATCAAAAGAAAAATCTGCATCATCATTTGTACTATTCTATCTACTGTCATATATCTTCCTACCTCAGGAGAAAGATATGGATGGAGAACTAATAGCAGGGAGACACTTTGTATGGATAGACCAATGTGATATGCTAAAGTTCATAAGGGTATACTAAAATTAGTACAGTTCTGAGGTTTATGAGGTCAAGTGAAAGAGGCAATGGTGATTTGTTTTGTAAAGGTCAAGTTATTTTATTAATAAAGAGAAAAGTTCAACCTTGCAATTCCAGGAGAAATTGGAGGCATTTATATACATATTTTGGAGTACATAATAGATAATAGTGGTAATATTGATAAAATAGATGTTATCTTCGTTAGAGCAGTTAACATACTTACAGCAAGTACAGATAAATACTCTAGCGAAGGTATACATAGTAATAAAGATAATAAAGTAATAGAAGATTTTAGAGGTAATCTAGGTAATAAAGGTAAAGGCGGTGAAGACATAAATCAGTAGTACAAAGATTATTCTAGAATGGGACAATATTATAAGAGTAAATGCTACTAAAATTAATACAAGGGGTAATGCAAATCTTGAGCAAAAATCACATGTAACACTACATACAATTGATATAAAAAATACCTCCTATTATAAACTTGCCAGTCTCCTCACTTATCTAATTAACTATCACATCAAAAAACCAAAACATTTTATCAAATATACTTCCCTTAGAGATAAACTCAAAAAATACTTCATTGATGCTTTCTTTACTTTACCATCTGAACCATTTGAAATCCTCTCCCAAATCAAAATCAAACTTTCTACCAAGTTCCCAATGCCAAACAAAATACAAATCATTACAATTTTACATGTCCTTGATACTTATTACAAATTTGAAAAACTACCTGACTTTTACTTTAAGGAAAACCCTCCTCTTCTTGAAGATCCAAATGATCTCCTAATTAAATACAAAGGCATCTTTCCAATTAAAAAAAGAAGCGAGTTTAGTAACTTCTCAAATTACAAAAATTATTTCAAATTAGAATACAAGGTCCTCCCCAAGTTACTAATCACTTATTTTAATCTTCCGCTTTCCAAAAAACCACTTTCAACAACTTATCAACTATTAGATCCCAAATATAAGCACTTATTCCCATTTAATTCCAGAGACAGTACTTATATTCTCCAGGAAATTATCACATTATTCAGGAAAACCTATTACTTCAAATTTCTTTCCAATGACTACTTTTTTATAAGGACAAAGCTACCTTTCTCTCCTGATAAAGTTGTACTTGATACCAATATTCTGCTCCTAGTAACAAATTCTGACAACATACCTCTTCTCCTTAAAACACTTGCAAAAAAATATACTTTTATCAATTCTCTTTTCAAGAAATAGATTAATCTTTCTCCAATCCAAAACAAACTGAATAAATTAAATAATAATGAACAGACTATATCAAACAAACCTCCACTTCCAATCGAATACCAAGAGATAAATGAGAAAGCAGGAACCAATTTTCCAATTATAAGGAAAATTGATATCCATTCAAACGTCATCAAAGCCCATCAATTCTATCATTTTTCAAAAATCCCTGATGAATGAATTCAAATACACATCAAATTTCCTCTTCCCAATCTCCCAGAACTCAAAAAATTTCTTGAGGATAATCATATCCAAATAGAATTTCCCATTATGAATGACGCTAACTTTACTTCAAAAATCTATAACTAAGAGAACACTTTAGTTTTCAAAAACTTTTCAGTGAATTTATTATTCAAATCAAACTTCCTGAACTATCAACAAAATATTTCAATTTCTTCAAATAATGACAAATCCAAATAATCCATCAAAAGATTTCTTAATTAAAAAAAATCTTAAAAAATATCATACTACATATTTAATACAAAATTATATTCACTTGAAATTGGTTCTCTCAATACAAGAGGACTCAAT